CACGTGATTTCACTTGTGGCAGGTATCAGCTTAAGACACGCCTGGGTCACTTCTAGAAGTGCAGGGGGTGGAGGAGCAGATGGGAACATGTGGCTCGTGTAGTAGGAGATGGGGAGGTTGTAGAGAACATGACAGTCCTCAGCCTGCCATGGACCCTGGAACAACCCCTCAGTGCTGAGGATCCCAGAGCTGCCGATCTGCGGGCAGCCCCCACCCCCCGATGCAGTGCCAGGAGATCAGTCTAGGAGGAGGGGGATGTAGTGTGAGGGAAAAGCAATCCCTTCAGCAAAGGCCGGGTACAACATGGCCAAGGGAGCCTCTCTCTGGCCACAGCTCTGCCCCACTAGCATCAAATCTCGCTCAGTGCTGGTCAGTGAAATGTGAAAGGTTTTTGTCTCGGTTCCCGCTCTGATTACACCACTGTGAGCATCTCAGCGCTGTCGTCCCAAGTCAGACAGTAATAATCAGCGTCATCCTCGGCTTGGAGCCCAGAGATGGTTAAGTAGCCAACACTTCCGGAGGCAGAGCCAGAGAACCGGTCCGGAACCCCAGAGCCCCTGTCTGTGCTAGAATCACTGAGATAATAGAGCAAGTATCTGGGAGGATTCCCAGGGGTCTGTTGGTACCAGTTTATTCCATTGCTACTGATGTCGTATCCTCCACTGACGCTGCACGAGAGTTTCACTGTCTGCCCTGGAGACGCAGACATTGAGGGCGGCTGCGTCACCACATGCTGGGCACAAGAACCTGCCAGAGACAAAACTCAGATCTGTTATTGCTGCATGGCTTGTGCTAAACTCCTAATTAGCTCATTTTCCTGCTCCCCAAAAGTCATCCTGGTGGGGAATTACCTGCCAGGAACAGCCCCAGGAGACAGAGAGGCAGAGCGCACAGGGCCATGGTGCAGGGAGGAGATGGACAGAGGGCGAGAAGGAGCCAACCCTGTCCTTGGGTTTCAACTGGTTCCTGCCTTTATGGAATCCTATAGCATCTTTTAGATCCCTAAGGGGCAGGTCACATGCAAATGAGCCCTGGGGGCCAGGCTGGATCGAGCCAGCATGCAAATAAGCTGTGGTGCTCTCTGATGTACCCGACTGCTCAGAGACATCTTCTGGTCGGCACTTAGCGCATTTGCCTTATTCCTGCCCTGTAATCACTCTGCTGGCCCTGATTTCCCCAGCAGTAAGAGGATTTGCATGGGAGAAAGGGGGAAAAGCTGAACTATGGATTTGTCTTCCAAAGCCCAACCCAGGTGTGTACTAAAGACCCCAACCAACCCGAGCAAGCCCATGTCGAGACTTTCATCACTTCTCCCTCAGTCCCCAGATACCCTTCAGCACAAACTGGCTTTTCAGATCTTGGCCACAAGGTTAATAAAATGCCCCCATCTAGTGGTCGCAAGCAGTGTTTGCTTCCCCTTCTTCACTGCACTTTCCCTTCTGTGCACCTGCTCTATTTGTGCAGTGATCGGCCTGCACGCGTTTACATTCCTCAGACCACAGGGGCTGCCCGGGAAGAGTCCAGCTGTCCAGATCTGACTGACTGAGTTCCTGCTGCCTTGTGCTCAGTCATCAATATAAACTAGATAACGTGCATCACAGAACGTCCTCTGGTTTTGTTCTTTTATGGCCAGATTAAAGTGGGCTCAGTCCAGTTTCAGTGTATGCTCACTAGTTTTGTGCATGATCTTTGCACACCCAGTTTTCACAGTATTTACACATGTGTGAGGAAATCCAATCACTTGTATGTGTATCGGATAGTGTTCAGAAACAGTGAGTGCAAATGATGGTGCATGATACATTGCACATGCACAAATTAAGGTCTCATTGGGAAAAGTCGCCCCTGTGGGATTGATTTCAGCAGAATATAGTAGGAGAAGAGCAAAGGAATGTCTGGCAGAAAACATAACTATATACGCCCTAAAATAATAATGACTTTTTATTCACCTAGTGATGCTGGCTTAGCTGATGTCAGACAACAGTTACATATGTCAAACAACTGACACAGCCCTGCCCCAGACAGGCTACAGCCTGGAGGCACGAGGCAGTGCAAGAGAGCAAAGATGAAACAGGACAAACACACAGTGCCGGGTGGGTTTTATGGCTGGAATTTTTCACTGAACCTGTGGGTCGTTGGGAGCTGTTTGAAGGAGTAGAGGGAAGATGCTTGGTGAACACAAATGGGAAACTGGCTGATCCCAGTTTAAGGTGCAGTATGAAGGAAACATAAAGAACATCCCCGAGCTCTCTCAGCCGCACTCGAGCCTCTGTCCCTTCCAGCCCCAGTTCTCTCCTCTCACCACGCCCTTGGTGCCCCTAACCAAATCCCGCTCTGCTCAGCCAACTCTCCCCAGCAGTAAGCTTTCGCCCCTCCCAGCTTCTATGTTTTGTATGTGTAGGTTGTTATTATGACTAACACTATTTATTAGTGAAATGGGCTCATTGTTTCCGGCACACTTGGATTGGGGGTGACACCATGGAAAATCCACTCTTTCCCAGTGGCTGTGGGAAGGAGCATATTGAAAAATACTCCTAAAAGAAAGAAACTGGGGGCTGTGAAATTGCCTGCAATGCAAATGGCCACCATTTGGGTGAAATCAGGGAAATATGACAAATTACTTTTGCCCAGCTCTGGGTGGGTGCCAAGACGCACCTGTCCATGTCCTTTGAAATCAATGGCAAAACACTCACTAACTCCAGTGGTGCTGCCCCATGCTCTTTGGGGGTCTCACCTGGGCCTAGATCGCTGTAGAGTTCTTTCATGGTGTGATCTCGTTCCTTTCCTTTCTCGTGAAATTGAGATTTGTAACAATAGCCAACCTCTTCTTAGCCACTCTGGGAAGCAGTTACTTGTTTTGCTTATTTTTCACTGTTACAAATTGTTTCCTTGCAAATAAATAGATTTGTACAGCTTAACGGGAGGGGCTCAGGCATTGTGTCCATGTAGCTTTCAGAGCGATGCCTGCTGGGTGTGTGCAGAGAAATCCCTGCCCCCTCGTTCCCAGGCCAGGCACTAGCAGAGTGTGGAACTCTTCTGCATCCCACATCTCTGCTATTCGGTAGGCTCGGATACAGCTGTGTTTACTACTCCGGTGATTGACAAGGAGAAACCGGGAGCTCAGGACAAAGACCAATAGAGCTACTACAGCAGCCTTCCGTTCTTAAACGTTTTTTTTAATTGAAAAGCGAAGAAAGTTCAATTAAAATAAGAAGTTAATGAAAAATAGGACTAGAGGCAAATCAGGATTATAATTATAACATGCTCTGTACCACAGAACATCGGGAATGTGGGGAGAGCTCTACAGACAGGGCACCAAGGGTCCGGAAGGCTATGAGAAGAGATCGCTGAGATGTAGGAAGATTTTATTTAATTATTTTCTGCCATTTGAAATCGCTTTCTCCAGAGTCCAGGGCATCTGGGTCCTGGAAGAATTTGCTATGATTTATGTATTACTGCATAGCACCAACAGTGCACTAGAAATCCCTGCCCCCTCATTCTTATTAGTGTCTTGGGTCCTTGAAGTTATTCTGTGTTCATTACTGCTGCTTTCACCATTTATTACCAGCAGTTATCACCGTGTACTACCCACCAGTCTGCTAGACTGCACCCAACAGAAAGAGATTTCACCCTCCACCCAGCCTGCCCTGGTCCATTCCAAGAGGATTTATGTGCACCAGACCAGTGCAGCCCAAAGGGTAATTAATCCAGACCTATAACAACCCACAAGGAATGTAAATATTGTTCCCCCCGCTCTGAACTGTCCCACTTCCATTGGCTCGTTAATGCACATGACATGGGAGGGCTCAATGGAGTCACTTTATTGGCCTGAAGTCGTGGATCATTTAAATAGTCACCCACCTGAATGGCCCTTATTCCCCGCATCCTGCCTGCTGCTCCATTTCACCCCACAAAGAACGTGAAACACAAAGTTAGTGGATGTGCTTTTCCTTTCGGCAGATCACAGAACCGGTTTACAGTGGAAATGCAGGATATTCCCCTCCACACCTGACTTGACTTCGGAATCTAATGCCACCCAAGAACGCTAGTTACCGGCTGAAATGAGACCCGCTGGATACAGAACTGACAAGTCTTTACTGATGATGATTTGTATTATAGCAGTGACATACTCCCCCCTCCCCACTTAGGGGCCCCCGACTCCCTGCCTCACTGGCCCCCTGTTCACACACCCAACGCCCACAGAACCTCCTCCCCGGCAGCCCCTCGGGCTGCTCAGTGTGGGCAGGTTCATCCTCACTGCCAGGCCATGTGGAATCGAGATCAGATCAGCCCAGCCCCTGCTCCAGGACAGGGATTTCCTTCCGCCATTTCACCACCACCACAAACAAACTCACAGAGAAGCAGAGGCTCAACCCCCTATTTTAAAGGGCCTCTAGCCCTGGGATCCCCTCCAGCCAGGCCCCCCTGCTTTCCTGCTGACCGGGGAGAGGCCGCTTCCACGTAGAACTGAGCTCTTTCAGGCTACTGAGCCCACCAGGCTGGATCGCAGGGTCACTAGGAAACTCTCGTTTCCCTTCACCCTTGAAAAGCTGGAGAGGGAGGAACTTCTGCCGACCCTACTGCTGCAGGCCTCTGTCACAGACCAGACCATGGCTGGGATCCACGGCAAATCTTCCTACTTCTAAACCAATCTCATAATTTTGGGGGGCCTGACTCATGAGTTTTGACCATCTGGGGCTGGCAGTGCTGTGAGCACAGGAGACATGATGAGACGTGGTGCTGGCAGAGGTCAGGCCTGTCAGTGATAGAAGACACTGACCCAGCTCTCAGATGCTTTTTCTGTTCGGATTCCGGTCGTAACTCGCCAACTCCAGCATTTAAAGCAAATCTGCAGCATTGTCCACCAGCCTCTCCCTTGGGAGGGAAGGGAGGTGATATGGATTTTGAAGAGCAAAGTGCAGCAGGTCCCAGAGCAGAACAGACAGATGGTGCCTGGGTATAGGGGACAGTCATTGTTCAAGAAACCACCAATGGCTTCTCTCTCTGTTTGTCAGTGTGTGTTTAGGAACGTCATGGTCTGAGCTTCAGGGCTGCACAGAGCTGTGACAGAGAGTTTAGGTCTCGGTTCTCTATCTCATTGTATCACTGTGATGAGCGTTACTACTACCATCCCATACAGCACAGTAATAATCTGCATCATCCTCTGCTTGGACCCCAGAGATGACTAAATTCCAGAGGTTGTTGGAGGTGTCAGAGGAGACGGTGAATCGTGCTGGGATCCCTGTGCCCCTGCCCTGGTCACCGCTAGTTTTATAGTGGTACACAAACTGCGGGGCACTGCCCAGCTTCTGCTGGTACCATCGCACCCTGTAGCTGTCAATGTTGTATCCTGAGGACATGGTGCAGGCCAGTCTCACATTCTCTCCGGGGGACACGGACACCGAGGGCGTCTGAGTCAGCACAGGCTGCGAGCTGGAACCTGGAACGAGACAGGAAAGAACTGAAATGTGGCCGCTGCCAGCATCTCAGAGCAGAGAATCAGGGGCAACTTTCTACCCTACCCGAGCAGTACGTGAGCAGCGCGAGGAGCAGAGGGGCCCAGGCCATGGTGGGAATCCACACGAGCTCGGCGTCCTGAGGCAAACGGGTCTGTGGCTGGGGCCCTCCGATTCTCTCTTAAACCCACAGAGCTCAAAAACGGCCCCTCCATGCAAATCAGCTCCCTGCTCACTGGCTGCTAAATGCACCACAGCCCATGGGAGAAAGGCAGACACTCCATAAATTGGAAGGGTTCTCAACATACTTATAAAAAAGTCTAATTACCCCGCTGAGATTGTCAGGGTCTCCGGGTAGGAGTCAGCCTCCAACTCTTCCTCATTGCCCCATCCAATCCACACAAAACCCTGAAACTAAAGTCATCTCCCTGCCTCCCATCCTGACACTACCTCCCTCTTGGTATCCCTCTTCTCTGCTTCTTCAAGTGTAATCTATTTGTTCTTGCCCACAAAGCACTACAGAACCTCTCCCAGCCTCAATATCTGCCCTACTCTCTTGTGTCTCCCTCCCAGCAGCTCCACTCTACCAGTGGTACCGCCTCAGTGACCCCTCTGTCCACTCCTCCCACAACCGTCTCTGTGCCGTCTGCCAAGTTCCCCCTATGCAGGGAATGCCCTGGCAATTCTGGGCTGCAAAGCCATCCACTCGCCTCACTCCAGCCCCTCCTGGAGACCTGCTCCTTCCACAGAATGACCCCCCAGACTGAGCCAACTCCCATTTTATATCCATTTACAAAACCTTTAAACCAGGCTCTGCACTGGCTGCCCATTGGTTTCTGAGCAGAGTCTGAGGTGAGATTTCCCTTGTCTGTATTATTCAAGAGACCACTCGATAGTGTGTCCAGTTCTGGGGTCTGCAATTTTAAAAGGCCGTTGACAAGTTAGAGGGTCTAGAGAAGAGCTACATGGATATTTCAATGTCTGGCAAACACTAATCGTTGGCTGAGTTACTTTATCCCTCACTATTTAGCTTGTCAAAGAGAAGGTTAAGAGGTGACTTAGGTGT